CAACAACACTTACAATTTCCTGTTGGGCAATTGTGTATTTTCTTTAACAAATCTGCAGATGCAGGGAAGTGGGATAATATTTCTTGGTGTTTTACCCAACAGCACACATATCTTGTATGATTTTTTAAATGAGATTTTTTCAATGCTGATAACATCTTAAATGATTTCTGCGGTTTGCTTCGGCTTGTTTCAAAGTAACTTTGCACTTGACAATCCTCTCGCACAATACAATGTTGTGTTTTATATGTCTTTGATTTAACATTTAGTACAAAGTACGGTAAACATGGTGGATTTGTGATTTTCACAGTTGCCTGAAGTTGTGATTTCCCAGCATATTTCAAAGCTTTACTTACGAAACCGTTTGCATTATTAGAGTCGGTACTTGTCAGAAATTGCTGCCAAAGGGATATTGCTCTATTGCTAGGCATCTTCGGAACCATATGGTTAGATTTTGAACCAATTTTTATTGATGGATCGTTATTACTGGACGATACCGTTTGGCGATTACTTTTGCAACAATGTTCACAAAATTTGCCTGGATTTAAATAGAATAATCTGGTAGGTAAGAAGAATAGTGACGTTTCAGTATCAAAAGACGCCAATAATTTATTAATGTTCGTTTCCCTTTTGTGAGAACAACAGTTAATAATTTCTATTATTTTAGGAATTTTAATGTAATATAATAATTCCTCATCAGCAGTAATTACATGGTTAACATAGCAGTAGTCAATTGTTTTTCCAAGATCGCGCCTAAAGTGGTATATTTCAGTGTATTTTAAATGAATATTTTTCATTACAACACATACAGTGTCCATTTTTTTGTTTATGTGCAGCAACCTAGTAATATTTTTTATTCTGGCAACCTGATTATTTTTTCTGTTAAATTTCGAATTGTTCCTTATTCCGAACTTCACACATTTTTTACATTTCATAATTTCATCACTTGATGTGTTTTTCTTGTGCCTAATACAATGGCGAAATTTTAAAATTGACTGACAATTATTTAGTGTGACAGAAAGTGGCTTACACAAGTCTAAGAGTGTCTGGATTTTACTAATTTCAGGATCTTTAGGTTCAATTTTTACTTGTAGTTCAGTTTTTACGTTAAACGTTTTATTACCTAAAGCATGCGAATTGATAAGTGGAGACGTTTTATAATTATATTGTTGTAATTTGTTAAGTAATTTCATGAATTGTAAATTACTTTTATCGTTTTTTTCAGTTTTAACAATACACTTTGTAAATTTAGGTTTGCTTTCAAATATCACGTTATTTATAATACTACTCGAAGGTAAACTGGAAAATTCCTTTTTAAATATATTCATGTCGTCTAAACGTGTTGTGTAAACTATAGGGAAGGTTTTCGAGCAGGTGCATGATGGTTCCACATTTTCCTTTTTTGGATCAGCAGATTTTTCGTATAATTGGTTTAACTCAACATCATCAAAAATTTCTTCTTTGACTTCAAAAAACTCTATGATGTCCATTACTTCTTCTCCATTAAACGCACCTGGTAAAAAAACAACAGTCACATTTCTATTAATGCAATTAATTATTTAATATTTTCTATGGCATAATGCCTAATACAACCACAAACAACAACCGCTCGAATTGGTTCGCCTGCCTGGGGAATCAACATCTACTACAGTAAAATAACACTACCTTTTTAGTGCTGTGTTTCTACTGGTGAGTAGGGTTCCAGGGCTCCGCGGAGTAGGGGATTGGGTTCAGGCCGGCAAGGCAAGGATGCATGGAGCGGCATACCTCCTGCTACATCATCTATCTTCGCGACGGGACTCCACTTACACTTAACATCAGGTGGAGCGGGGTAATTTATCGCGCCTCGTATAAAAAAAACAACCCCCTTTCTATGAAATTATTCGTTATATTCGTTTTGGTAACTTTCTATTCTGTAAATAAATTTCAGTACTTTTTTATATGTTTTACTTGATTGTAAAATGTAAACAAAGCTTTACATAATAATAAAACTTTTTTTATGGAGCAGAGACGATGCACAGCCTCTGTAACTGTGAAGATAGTGCGTCGACTTGCGGTCTCGCGACTCCCGTTAATTTCCATTAATTTTGCTTATTCTGCCATCACGGACTTATTAAACTTTATGTTTTTTAATTAGATAGCTCTTATATTTGAACGATTTCGATTTAGTGTGCAAGAGAAAAATATGTGGCTTAATGTACCCTCATCAAGCCCACATTCGCAAAATGAATTGTCTCGAATATAGAACTTATGTGAGAATGCCGGAGAGCAGCAGTAATCTTGACAAAACTGATATAACTTGTTCAGATAAGTTCTTACTTTTGTAAAACCGCGGTTTTAAATTTTATATCCGGTTGAACAGATGCATATACTACGCCCTTATGTTATGAGCCTCGCTGCCAATCCGAAGACAAGTAGAATTCAACTTAGCCTTTGCACAATTCAGAAGGTTATAATTTTGTAAAAAGAAGTGTTTTCGATCAATTTCATTAGAAACGGCATTACTTTTATAGGGAATCTGCACATTCATTTCCTACAATGACTAGAAATCCAAGCAATGGAGACGGTCAGGTCTTTTTTTTTCGCAGTTTAATAATTGATTCTATGAATGACAATATCACTTTTTATTTTGCTGTGTAATGGATCCTGTAATAATGACTGTACTGAAAACCACTGTACGAGTCCGAAAAGATAACAGAGCTTTTAATATTATGACTTCCAATATTCCTATGCACTCGCCCTTAAACACCGACAATTCCGGAATTCTGAAAATAAATTGCAACACCTGCACAGCTTGTCTCCGACATTTTAGAAGCATCAGTGAAGAAAAGGTTCCAACCTTGCCATCGACTGTCAAGTATTGACCTGAACTCCGATTTTGCAGACGGTGAGGATTTAGCTATACCCAGATCTAAAACAATATTTGGTGTTCTACAGTGCAAGGAATCGTATGGGAAAGAAAAGACAGGAAGCTTAGAGTAACTGCAAATGCGTGAACTAGAGCTCTTAAGCTCCATGTATATTATCTTAATTAAGGGAGGAACCGATTTTTTATGCCAATAAGGGTTACCCTCCATAGAAGCCACAAGTTGTTCCATTATAGGCAATAAGGTGTGCGATGAGAGCGTAAACACCTTAGAAAGATAATCTGCTAAATATTCAGTAAGTGTCTTTTCAAGAAGACTGGAGCCTCAGCAAATTCCACCTAGGGGGCATTAATAGGGGAGGACTTCATGGCTCCAATTATAACCCTTAGGCATTTAGCTTGAATGAAATCCAATTTGGCAAGGCAACCATGTCCTTATTACATGGTTCAAGTACAAAGCAGCAATAGTCTATTACACTTCTAATCAAAGTATTGTAAACCATCTTGAGGGTGTAAGGACTAGCCCCCCACCAAACACCTGCAAGTGCTTTTAGGATTGCGACACGTCTGTCTAAACACCCTAGAGTCCAACTCAAAGCCCAGGAATTTCGCGCTATTTTTAATTGGGATTGGAGCATCATTTATGGGGATCTTAACTATCGAGATATTTCTTCTGCGGCTAAACACTACCGCCGAACTTTTAGGCGCGCTAAGTGCTTGCCATGATTTAAAGGCCATTGGTTTAAGAGATGCTAGGGAAAAGTTTATTTGTTTAGCCAAATCGTCAATAGATGGACCACACTGGTAAAGTGGTCATCCGCGTACTGGAGAATTTTACGATGGAGAGCCCCAATATATAAGTTATATAGTAGCGAACTAAGTACAAAGCTCTGAGGGAGACCCTACAAGCCTTTCTCTCCATAAGTCTCATTCGGCATTCTTAGATGGTGCGGGCGTGAAGAAAGCATATTGCAAATGATTCGTATAATCTTAGCTGGGAGTCTCAGCTCATGCATCTTGTGTCTGAGAATAGAAAGAAGAATATTGTCGTAGGCAGAAGAAATATTCAAAAAACCTCCACAACATGATTGTTGTTACCAAGGGCCAATCTAATATCCACTGTGTTAAGACTCTTTTTGAAGCTAAACTGGGATCTAGGGTGAAGTTCTCTATTTTCCTGCTACTCTAGGTGGTTCTTTAATAAATGCTCCAGTATTTTTAAAAGCACAGATGACGAAGCAATAATTCTTATGGTCATTGGGGTCCTTGCCCGGCTTAAGTAAAGGTATCACCAATTGTAGCTTCCAGGCATGGGGAACAAATGGACATAGTTGTATGGGCCAAATCTTGTTTAAGTTAAATTGATATTTAGCCAATTTGCTGCAAGTGGGCCTCAATAAGTAGGTAGGTACCTACCTAAGTTTCTTCAAATGAATTTTATTATTTCTTAATGCCTTCAGTGGTGATGTGATGTAGACAATAAACTACTGTTTTTTGCACAATCTTCTGATGAGCAACTTCATTTGATATAGCTTAGTAAATTTTCAAATGAAGGCATTGGTTTCCTTGCATAATTTCAATTTACAATTATTTTGGATAAATGGAAACTACAAATGAATGAATACTACAATAGGGATGATGGCTAATTTTTTTTTCTTCGTTTATCAGGTAGATTGTCAAAAAGTATTGGACACGTATTTTTTCTTTTTTCACATAATATAAACATTGCAGAGATATATTGATTTGAAAAGTCGCATGGTGTCACATTTTGGTACACGAGCCCCTACTCCCAAACTTTGACGTGCTATAACTTCGTCATTTTTTGGTTGATTGCCCAAAGAAAAAATTGTGTCCATTATTTTTTTAATCTAACTGACGGACTAAATAGAATTTCGTTTGCTGTACCCCGTCATCACCCCTATTAATTAATGTTAACCTTGATCTAATACCTTTATAATTCTTTTGAAGATATTTATTACACAGTCATCAATCAGTAAATATTGGATATTTTCTGTATAATGCATCCATTATGTTATGTATTTGGAATGCCCAAAATATTTTTATGAGAAATAACTTCATAACAACCAAAATTTTAGTTCACACATTTAAAGTGGTCAATTTTAATGAAATATCTTACCTCCTTGTGCTGTTAAAGCCATGGTTAACAAATTTGTCAGTTCCCTTTTAGTTCAATCAGTGCAGTGAAATCTAAAAAAAAACAAAAAAAAACTTTTAAACATTTATTTCTTTTCATATAACCCTGACCAATCATACAACAGTATTAAAACAGCAGTGGATGTTGTTTATTCCTTAATCTTAGCTAATACAATGATACTACACATCAACAATCCCAATATGCTTTAATTTAAACTCTGAAAATAAGAACAGCACACCCCATAGAATAAAATAAAACCTCAGACACTGACAGAAACAAAACATAATATCTCAGTTGCATTGTAATTTTGTTAATAGTCAGTCATTAGGGTGGTCCGAAGATATTTAAAATAACAAATAAAAAGCTTTGACTTACAAATTACCGTAAGTGAGGGTTACTTTAGCTCGGGCGGGTAACTTTGTCCCAAATCAGAAAAAATATTGAACTTGCCGCCCCATCAGTATCTCTTGGTGACCGTAATAGTTCCAGTTGAAAATCACCGATAGCCATATAGGCGCGTAGTGTGGTGTTGTTTTACCGACATCGTTCCTGTATCAAATTGTCATTGTAATGCGGGATTTATAACTGAAATAGTTTGCAAGTTCATGCGCAAACTTTCTCAAAACTGTAGTTTTCGGTAAGTTTACTATTTTTTCTAAATATAAAGTTATATTTTTTATTTAACATAATTATTTTTGGGCAAAAACATCCATTTGTGTATTCAGTATGCTAATGGTGATCTGTTATAAGGGTTACTTAACCCCAACATGGCTTAAAATGAGTTTTTTCACAGAGAAAACTCAACAAGCTAAAGTAACCCTCTATAGGGCCAACTTTGGCCCAAAATTAAAAAAATATATATTAACCCTTAAATATTATTTTTTCCTATTTTCGTATGATAACTTTGTAACTTATACTTTAAAGTTCACAATGGAAAGATATAAACATGACATATTCATCACAAAGAGAAGCTAAAATTTTATTTGAAAAAAATAGTGCACATTTTAGGTCAAAGTAACCCACAGTTACTCGGTATGTAAAATCTTTATTTTTCTGGCAAAGGAATGTGGCAGGTGTGGGACGTTCGGATTACAGCAGTGCTCGGATTATAAAGTTCCTGGTGTACTGTGAACTTATTTAGTAAGATTTCTTCAATGATACTCCTTCTTAATATAACTAGTTGTTTATATGTCTAGGTTTGTCCAGTGAGAGTTTGGTCTGTTGTTTTAAACTCTGCTTATGCTATGACAGGACTTTTTGCAAATACAAGGAACTTCTTTGGTTGAATAATTTGTTGAAAATGAAAATCAAAATTGTGACTAATCATGGCCTACATTTAATATGAAAGAAACCTAAGTATCCATGGATGTCTCTATGAAGATCAGTAAACAAATAATTATAATATTAAAGTGTATCTCACCTTTATTCAGCATTAGTCCAAAAATCTGCCATTAAACACATATTCGCCGTAAAGTATACAAATAATTGCTGCTTAATTTGGACCCTGAGAAGGCCCATTTGTGTGTTTGGTGGAATTTTATCTACATAAAAATGTAAAAACGCTGGTCTATGATCACCTATTACATATCCTCTTTGCTGCTACGCAGTATGATCTACTTATTCAGAGATTTAGGATGCAGTGAGGACCGTTTTCATCAATAATTACTGAGGTTTTCATGAAAGAGTAGAATATTTAGACCAGTTTTCATTATGTTTTGATTTTTTCATTTTATAAGATTCTCCCGTTTTATGGAAGGGAAAGGGAACAATGCCCATACAGCCTAATCTTTATTTACAATAATTTTCTTTTTTTTTATGCGTCACACCAACATTTTAATGTTTCTTGAAGTGTTTGGCTCGAAATGCATCGAATTGATTTTCGTTATGCTTCTGTGAGGTAGTCAACACTACAATAAAGATCACACGTCCACTTGACCGGAATTGTGTATAATAATTATAAAGATTCCACTAATACTTGAGTTGCGCAGACGATTGTGAAATCACACCAATTTTATTTCAATATATCCACTAATAACGAATTTAAGACCCCTACCACCCTTTTCCACAACTGTCAAAAACCTTGGTGTGATATTTGATCACTGTTTCTCTTGGAAACCTCAGCTCGAATCTATAAGAAAAAAAATATTTGCCGCATACAACTCACTTAATCGACTACGTAACTTTTTGCCGACCAGTACTAAAATCACTCTGGTGCATACTCTTTTACTCTCCATTCTGGACTATGCTGATGTATGTTACACTGATCTTTCTGAGGAACTGCTAAGCAAGTTGGTTGGAACGTTTGCAGAATATAGCTATCAGATTTATATATAATCTCCGTAAATTTGACCATGTATCACACTTCCGCTCGAAACTCAACTGGCTCCCTATTCGCCGGCGCAGGGACTTACATACTCTTACGCTTCTTTATTCTGTACTTTTCCTACCTACTTCTCCACCTTATCTAAAACAATGCTTCTCTTTTCGATCATCCTCTTCACAATGCATTCTACGCTCCTCTTCTAATCTCACTCTAGAAATACCTTGTCATTCGACTGATTTCCTTTCTTACTCCTACTCTGTGCATTCTGTTCGCTTGTGGAATTCATTACCGGAATCCATACAAAGGGCTCGCACTCTGGACTCGTTCCGTGAGCAAGTTAAGCGACATTTCCTATCTTTACTTTAAAAATACCTCTTTCCTTTATTTATTTGTTTATTTTTTATTTTTTTCATATAAATATGCATCTATATTATTATTACCGTTTTTATTTTATTTTATAATATTGCTCTTACAGCCTTCCCCCTTTTTTTGTTCTTTATACTTATTTAATTTTCCGTCATGGGTTGCCTGGAAGAGATTGCTATTAAGCAATAAGGCCGCCCATTGTGTAATGTCTCTCTGTCAGTGTAATCTTACTGTTATGTCCATTGTGGTGTTATACAATAAAGAATATTATTATTATTAAGAATAATTAAAATAAGACGCCACCGCACTCGATGAAATCCCGCGAAGAACTCACCGAAGTCCGTGGTCTCGAACGTCATAGAGGTAGAATTGCCAGCTAAAATCGGTATATTTGTACCCAAAATCAGTATTTGACAAAAACATAATATTCAATCAAATTCGTTTATTTATTAAAAAAAACTTACAGACTAATTTATAACAATCATACTTAAGTATAATTATTTATTTTATCAATATTCTTTGGACAAAGGATTCCCAAATAAAGTGTTGATTAAATAATTTGATAACATATGATTATGTATAAGACCAGAGTTGATAAACAATAATTGTATAGCTTAACATTTAAAGTAAATGTTTGTTACATTAATAACTTATGAGAGTTTGTAAAGATAAAAAGGGGACATGTGTGATATATGTATGGCAACATTTGATGACACTTAAGTCAATGCTAACCTAATCTGGGACAGGCACCTTTAATTAATAAATTCAACATGGAATAGAAGTCTTTTATTGAAATCTTAATAAAACCAGTTGCTATCTTATATAGTACAAATCAAAACTAGTTTTTAATGTTCCAGTTATTTTTTCATATAAATTTATGAATATTCGGGTGTTCTGCTTGCGTTTCTTTATTTAAGTAGGTTAATAATGGTAATACAAAATCTACAATTTCAAAAATAATATCGTTGTGGGATCTTGGATCTTCTATAATATATGTTCTGCAGCTAAAAGATAATCATTGTAAGAAAAGCATATTAGAAGAAAAGTAGTTGTAAATGTCTCTTACAAGATCCTCTATAAAGCGTGGCAATTTGGTACAAGCATATGACGCGCACATATAAAACGAATGGCAGGTGCATTTAAGTGTAAAAATTTTCGGAATTTCATTTTGCAGCAATTTTACAACAGAATTATTACGTCCCATCATTGCGTTTGCCGCATCAGATGCAAAACCTATTAGATTATTTTTATATGGAATATTATTGCTTCTAAAAAAGTTTACAATTGTGTCGATACAGGCGTGATTCTCTAAACTTAAAACTAAATTTAACATCAATCTCTCATTTTCATTCCGTATAGAGAATGACAATGATACACTGTCGTCAAATTTAAGTTTCATCATATCAGCCGTACGACGCTCACTGCTGGACATAGGCCTCCCCCAAGGATCTCTACAACGATCGGTCCTGCGCTGCCCGCATCCAGCGTTTTCCCGCGACCTTCACCAGATCGTCGGTCCACCTTGTAGCGGGTCTTCCCACTGAGCGTCGTCCGGCACGCGGTCGCCATTCGAGAACCTTTCCGCCCCAACGGCCATCGGTTCTCCTCGCTATGTGTCCCGCCCACTGCCACTTCAGCTGGGCTATTCTTCGAGCTATGTCGGTGACTTTAGTTCTCCTGCGGATCTCTTCATTTCTGACTCGATCACGCAGGGAAACACCAAACATAGCTCTCTCCATTGCCCGCTGGGCGACCTTGAGCCGTCCTATGAGACCTATAGTAAACGACCACGCCTCACTGCCATAGGTCATCACTGGCAACACACACTGGTTAAAGACTTTCGTCTTAAGGCACTGAGGTATTTTGGACGCGAAGATTGTAACATCATATTTTTATAAATAATTTAACCAATAATATTAATTTTTTAATATAGCGCCATCTATCGTCACTCACGTGAATCACCAAATGTAGGAGTGCTGTAAGTATAGCAAGAGGTGCGTGTCAAGAGAATCTGACAGTTGCTCTTGGAATTTATGATAGATTGAGTTGATGTATGGTTCGCGCGTTAAAAACGAATTGATGTGACGTGGTTTGACTTACCACTTCCGAGAGGATTTCGCTCCTTATATGGTTAGAGAATCGAAATCTTCTGTTAGTGTTTACTTAGAATTCGGCACTATAAATAGCTCTGCGCGGGTGCAACTGATCTCTTTCGCTTTTGCATTTTTGTACATCAAGGCAGTCGCAACGTGACCTTTGAGAAAGCTGTGGTCAGTGCGCTAATAATCTTAAATGACCAGAATTGTTAATTGATATTTCTCCCCGGATTAACGGGTAAGTTCCATATATTTAATGCAATAGGTTGTAGATCAAATTAGGCATTTAATGGTACTATAGGAAGTGTGTGTAATTATTTCTAGGTCCTTTGAGGAAGCTAGTATAATATATAGACAAAAACTCATTCATTAGTACTGGTCGGAATTTCCCTGGAAATATTGAAAGGAATAAGTTTGGTAGTATGAGCCGGTGATCTGTATTCTGCAACCTAGACGAGTGCGACTGATGACAGCATATCCTTCGTAAAAATTTAACCACATTTGAAAGCAACTAGATGTTCCCGGAGTCTTTAAGCTAAGTAATATCTGTATTTTCTTAATATTTAACCAGTGCCTCCTCCGAAGTTCAGGATTTCTGATTCTTGGACCTAAGAAAGGATTTGTAATTGTATACAGTAGATTCATTAAAAGAAAATCTTTAATTGCATTTCATTTTGTTAGATATTTGCTAAAACAAGTTGTTTCTATAGAATATTAACATAAATATACCTGTATGTACCTGTTATTGACTGTATGTTCGTCATTTAATCTTAATACTTAAACGTATAAAAGCTATATTCAAAGATATCTGTTAGTAGTAATAAGTGTGTCACTGAATATATGAATGATAATTTAATTTAAAATATAAAGATCTTGTTCACTGCTGAAAACATTTTATTTATCTCTCACAAAAATACAGTATAAGGCGCCCTGGCGAGATAATAATTTTTGAGTCTCATGCGAAGCCCTGAGTAGTCGGTGGTAGCGAAAATTGCTACAAGATGTTCCGCAGCTTCCCGAACGCTGCCCATCCGAGTTGGATTCGACGAGAGATCTCTTTCTCGAAGTTAGACTTACCTTACTGGATTGTGTGTCCTAGGTAAACGTTGTGGTCAACAACTTCAAGTGTAACGTTCCCAACATTAACTGGAGTGGGTGCAACATGGGCGTTGGACATGATTTTCGTCTTGTCCATGTTCATCTTAAGACCCACTCGCTGGGATGCGTCACTGAGATGCTCGAGCATGGTGTTCAGGTCTTCCAAGGTGTCCGCCATTAGGACTACGTCATCGGCAAATCTAAGGTGTGTCAGGTACTCGCCGTTGATGTTAATGCCGAGTCCTTTCCAGTCCAGAAGCTTAAAAATATCCTCCATCGCAGCAGTGAACAGTTTCGGAGATATAACGTCTCCCTGTCTCACCCCTCGCTGTAGTTGGATAGGATTAAAGCTCTGATTCTGTACTCGGACCGACATAGTGGCGTTTTGGTATAGGTACTTTAACACTTCGATATACCTGTAGTCCACTTGGCACCTCTGGAGAGACTGCAGCACCGCCCAGGTCTCGATCGAATCGAAGGCCTTCTCATAGTCTACAAACGCTAAGCAAAGTGGCCGATTATACTCTTCGGTCTTCTGTATAATCTGCCGCAGCGTATGGATGTGGTCTATGGTACTAAAGCCTTTTCGGAAACCGGCTTGTTCGGGAGGCTGGAAGTCGTCGAGCCTGCAAGCGAGACGATTCGTAATGACCCTCGAAAACAGCTTGTAGATATAGCTCAGAAGCGAGATGGATCTTTAGCTCTTAAGTAGGGTCTTATCGCCCTTTTTGAAGAACAAAATCACCTCGCTTCTGCTCCATGCCTTCGGCGTTTTGCCCTGGTGGATAATGGAGTTGAAGAGCTTCTGGAGGACTTTAAGTACCGGCGTACCGCCCGCTCTCAGAAGCTCTATTGTGATTCCGTCATCTCCCGCCGCCTTGTTGTTTTTAAGCTGTTTGAGGGCAATTCTAATCTCGTACAAGCTGACGTCCGTGATATTCTCGGTATAATGTCGGGTAAGCTTGGCTCTAGGATCTCGAGCTCTGCTTTCACCTGGTGTTCTGCTGGAATATAACTGCCTATAGAAACTCTCAATCTCCCTCAGGATTTCAGGAGTCGATGAAATGATACTACCGTCCTCAGTTTTCAGCCTCGTCAGTTGACTTTGCCCAATAGACAGATCTCAAGCGAACACTTTGGAGCCTTTGTTCCGCTCTATGGCCTCTTTAATACGCTCGGTATTAAAGTGGCGAAGATCGCTCGTCAACGACTTCGAGATCTGTCTATTAAGCTGTCTATAACGAAGGGCATCCGCTGAGTCCTGTAGTCTCATTTCATGTCTCTTATCCATGAGTTCGAGTGTGTATGCGGAGAGTTTCTTTAATTTGGTACGGCGGGTTTTAAAGTGTTTAGACCCTACCGTACGGACAGTATCCACCACCAGGTCGTTCAGATCGTCCACATCTATGCTGTTCTCAAGGTAATCGAAGCGTTTCTGGAGCTCGAGCTGAAAGCGCTCGGGGTTTTGAATTTGGGCTGGCACCGGTCGGAGCGTTGATTTTATCAGTCGCGATCTTTCAAGCTTAACGTTGATATTCAATGTGCTCCTTGCCATGTGGTGATCGCTTCCTCTCTTAACAGCGTTGATCACTGAGACATCATTGAATATTTGCTTCTTCGTCGACATGATAAAATCAATCTCATTTTTGACCTTGCCCTCGGGACTTATCCAGGTCCATTTGCGGGTGACGGGCTTTCTGAAGAAGGAGTTCCTCATATAGAGGTTCTCCCTCTCCATAAAGTCCGCCAGCATCCGGCCCCTGTCGTTCCGTTCCCCAAATTCAAATTGCCCCACCCTCAGCTCGTCGCCTCAACGTTTCCCCAACTTTGCATTGAAATCCCTTATCACAATCGTGTAGTGGGTTTTGTGGCTATCCATGACCCGAGAGACCCTCCACTTCGTCATCGGTGTGTTTCGAGGTTGGAGCGTAGACTTGGATGACAGTCATCGAATATCGTGATGATATTCTGAGTACCAAGTACGCTACTCTACGCGAAACACTACCGATGGCCAGCACGTTGTTGATGAGGGACTTGTGGACGATAAACCCGACACCACCTACGGACTGTTGGTCGCCCTCCCGGAAGTACAGCAAGTTACCGGAGTCCAGAGTTATCGTGTCCTCTCCCTCTCTTCGGACTTCAGATAACCCGATGACGTCCCAGTGTAACTTGCTGATAGCTTCTTCCAGCTATGTCATCATGGCATCGGTCCTCAGTGTGCGAGTGTTGTAGGTTGCCAGGGTCAGTATTCGGTTGTTGTGGTAGCCGTGTCCTACCCGGGGATTCTTCGCACCCCCTGCCCCGCCGTTACCGTGGCCGCTACCGTATCCAGGAATAGCGGAGCCGCCGGGGACTAGGGGCCGTTTTGTGTTGTTTCACTTCATATGGGGGGGGGGGGGGGGGGGGGGGGGGGGGGGGGGGTTAGGCCACTTCATATGGCGATCGCAGTATACCGGTTCGCATAAGGAGATGCTGCTGCCCATCTCCTTAGGTGAAGTTTCCCTTTGTCGCCTCTTACGACACCCACGGGATGAGAGGGGGTAGTGCTATTCTATTCTAGGCCGGCACTACACGGCTATTTAAGTTTAGGTTTACAGAATCGTGTCAGAATTGACACCAGTGTGTTCAAATAAGGTTGCTGCATTAGCTTCTTCTAATGGAATAAGAGCTAAAAAAACAATCTTTAATACGATTCATTTTCGCATATCTCAGAACGAAGCACAAGTGTTTGGTTGCACTAAGATCAGACAACTCGTCAATAATAAGCGAAAACTTAGTTTGCCCTAGATCTTCACATAAATTATTGAAACTATCTTTACCAATATGATCAATTATGTCATGAGTTTTGGTCGAAGAGCATTTTATTTCTTTTGCTATTTTTGAATCAGCACAAACGGCTTGCATCAACCTCGGTAGGTGCTACATAATAGTGCATGGTAGGTTGTGGTCAGAAACAAACGAGGCTAATCTTATTTCACCTAATATTAAAAATAAAGAATTAAAATTACGTAGGTATATCTGGTAGCGATTAAGGTATAATTATATCCACTGCTTATGTAAACCGATAAGTAGAAAACAAAATAATATAACAATGTAAATAGTAAAATAAATAACTAAAAATTACATTGCTTAACCAGTATATCAAATTTTTGAGTTTTGATCACACTAAATGATGATATCTTCGGTTGTGATTTTATATTATTTAATGATACTGAGTATGCTTATGAAGAACTATGTTTTTTTATAGCGTCTTTTCCTGATGTAATGTTGATATCTTTATTACAACTCTTACAATAGGCATAGCTTTCGCCTTTACTTCTTCTTAAATTCTTCTTCCCATTCTTTTCTATAATATTGTACATATTTTTTTCTTCTTACACTCGCACTTGTGCTTGGCTCCTCGTCAGACGACATTTTAACTTAATTATCTGATTTTTAGGCAGTCTTTTGGTTAGGTATTGGTGTCGATTCTGGCGTGATTCTCTAAACTTAAAACTAAATTTAACATCAGTTTCTCCTTTTCATTCTGTATAGAGAATGACAGGGATGCACTGTTGTCAAATTTAAGTTTAGCTTTAGAGAATCATGCCAGAATCGACATCACTCTCTCTTAAGTTAAGAAAATTGATGAAAAAATTAAACCGAATTCCTGTTTATATAGACTGGACAGGTATATTCCCGAGCGGGAAGCCCCCTTCTTTTGAAGAAAACTTCGAATTATAGGACCCAAGCGTAATCCCCAAAATATATGAACTACATTCTGCACTAGGGCCATACTATTGAGGGTTTCCCCGTAATATTAAACATAAATGAAAAGGGCTGCCAACTTAAAAGTGTAAATCGGTCGAAAAATCGGGAGAATTTCCATGTATACTGTGAAATAATAGAAAAATTGTTATATTTTGGTATTTCGGTAGAACAGAGCCCATATCGGTAGAAATACCGAAAAATCGGTAGGTTCGAGACCACTGCTGGAGTCCTCGACTGTTTTGAGTTTTCTTTTTAAGTTTTTTTTTCTATTTGTTTCTTAGGTTTTCACGCACATCACTCATTAAATAAAACCAGTTTATAACGGGTTAATGCACGAAACTTTATTTATTTATTGACGTTTCGTAGCCTTTACAGGCTACGTCGTCAGAATCAAATTTTATTTAATTTTGTCGAGCTACCTTCGAAAGACTTTTATTGAGCGTTCGGTTATTTTATTGTTCGATTTTTATTTTTTTTTTCTCTGTGTATGAAATTATTACTTAATTTAATTAATAAAGTACTTTATTTAAAATTCTTTTTGTAATTTTGAGTTTATTTATTTGACCCTAACTACCGTAAACTACCACCGGTTCCAAAATTGGGAGACCTTCCTGAGAAGAACCGGCGAAACAAACTCAAGAGAGGCTTTCTATCTCCTTCTTATGTTAAATTATGCAAACAAAAAGAACTAATAGTATCTGTTGGTCTTGCAGTGTGTGCTCGGGGTTCGCTTGACGTTTCGTAGCCTTTACGGCTACGAAACGTCAATAAATAAATAAAGTTTCATGCATTAACCCATTAACCCCTAAAAAACTGGTTTTATTTTTTTTTCTATTTCGGTTTTACAGCACTAAGGTCCAGGCCTTTTCTGCTGGTGTTTTCTAGTTACAGAAGCAGTGTGATCAGAATAAATTTTACGAAGATAACGAAGCACCTCAAAAAAAACTTACATAATTATACCGTCTTGCACAGACCACAGACATATTATCAATAAAGATACTGATTTTCAAAACAGGTTGTATTCATTCATGAACACATTTTTGTTTAGTTTCTTTGTACTCATTTTAGTCTGTGAAAACATGAGCTCACGTACACCCTCTGAAAAGGATCGAAAAAGACACGAAAACGAGAAGTACATGCTTGTGTCATTTCCATATGATCCTTTTTCAGACCGTACAACATACGATGCTGGTATGGTTG